CCCCCCTCCTTCCTCCCTCTCCGCCAACCGTCACACACCCCTCCCTCCCCCCCCACCCCCCCCTCATGGAGGTACCCCTCCCGGAGTCATGCATCTTTCGCCCCTCGGCCGCAGACCTTGCGGCATACCCCAACTTTGCTGCATACATCGCTACGGTGGAACATGCTCCTGCTGTGAGGGCAAGGGGTGTGCTCAAGGTGGTGGCTCCGCCTGGCTGGTCTCCCCTCGGCTTGGAGTCCCTCCCTCCAAAGGGAGGCAGTGGCAGTGGTGGTGGAAAGCCTGAAATGACAACGCTCTCGTCGCATCCGCACTCACTCGATGCTGTGTCGGAGCCTCTGCTCGCTCGTGTCGCTGGCCTCCGCATTCGCACGCCCATTCTCCAGTCGGTCACCGGTGCAAAGGGCGTGTACGTCGTCCGTCACGAGCCCAAGGCCTCAAAGTCGTGGTCGGCCTTTGCCGCACAGGCTGCAAAGTACGATGCCCGGACTCGTCCAAAGGATCTACCTTTGTCATCGAGCCCGGCTGCTCGGGAGAGCCCGTCGTCTGCGTCGTCATCCGCCAACTCGCTGCCCTCGCTCCCGCTCTCCGACGCCCAGATCAAGGCGCTCGAAGCCCACTTTTGGCGCCGCATCCGCGGCCGCTCGCCGACATACGGCGCAGACGTCCCGGGATCACTCTTTGAGCCGGGCGTTCCGTTCTCGCTCCCCGAGATGCGCTCGCTACTCAACCACGACGCGCTTGGGACCGACGGCATGCTCGGCGTCACCACGCCCATGCTCTACGCCGGCATGTTTGGCGCCATGTTTGCCTGGCACCTCGAGGACGCCAACGCGTACTCGGTCAACGCCATTGTGCTCGGCGCACCCAAGGTTTGGTACGTCGTCCCGCCGTCAGCTCAGCACAAGTTTGAGGTCCTCATGCGCAAGCTCTTCCCGCGCGAGGCCGACGCCTGCCGCGAGTTTCTCCGCCACAAGTCGTGCGTCGTTGCCCCCTCCGTCCTCGACCGCGAGAACATCCCCTACACCCGCGTCTATCACCGCGCCGGCGAGCTCGTCGTCACCCTAGCCGGTGCCTACCACGCCGGCTTCAACTGCGGCCTCAACCTCGCCGAATCGGTCAACTTTGCTAACGTCGGCTGGCTCGAGCACGCCCTCGCCGCCCGCCCCTGCCTCTGTCGCCCCGACTCGGTCCGCGTCGACGTCTCGCCGCTCTTTGCCCCGCCGCCGCCGCCCTCGGCCTCGCGTAAGCGTCCCCGCTCGGGCCCGCCCTCGCCGCACTCGGTCGCCGCCTCGGCCTCGCTCCCTACCGCCATCCCTGTTCTCGACGACGACGCCGAAGAGGAAATCTCTGGAGGTTACATGCACCCGCGCAAGCGCAAGAAGCACGCCGCCCCGCCCGCAGAGACCGAGGCCGTCGCACTCGCCGCTGCACTCGCCCCCTACCTCCTCTCGCCGCCCTCGCCGCGCGCCCACCTCGGCTCGCCCTCGCACCTCGCCACTCGCCTCTTCAACATTCTGCCCCTCATCGCTCCGCTGGCTGCCCTTGTTGCATCTCCCGCGCCCGAGCTTGACCCCTCGCCGCGCGCTCGCGACGTGCTCTCCGACCCAGCCACCCTCGGCGTCGCCCTCGCCCTCGTCGCTCGCTTCTCGCCCTCCCGCCTCCCACCGTCGTAGCACTCTACTCTGCTTCGCTCCGCTCCTGTTTGTATTTGATCGAGCCTTCGAGCCAAGGCCGCTACACCACATCGGCATCGTCCGAACCAGACTCGAGGCAAAACGTCGACGCCGACGACGCCGGCCGCGGCGTGGTAGACGATCCCAGCGCCACGTGCGCGAGCGAGTCCAGCTCAATGTCGAGTGCGTCAGAGTCGGTAAAGGCCGTGCCCATCATCGAGAGCGAGCCCTTGCGCTCGGCAAGAAAGTCGAGCGAGATGCTGTCCGACCGGTGGACCCGCACAGGCGCCTCGGCAGTAAAGCCCTCGATCGCAGACTGCGCCACAGGCGCGAGCTCTGCGTCCATGTCCACCATCTCGCGCTCAATCGCCATCGCCAGCTGGTGCACCCGATCCCGCGCCGCAGAGTACTTGCCCTGCTTTGCCAGTGAGATCTGGACGACGTCCATCACTACAGAGTGGACCGCCACGCCCATCAGTGCCACCAACGCAAGGACCACGCCCGCAAACACCATCGTCTGCGCCTCGCCGGGACTCGACCGCTCCGCATAGCTCGCTCCGCCCAGCAAGAGCACTACCACAAGCATCGCCGTTAGGCGAAAGTCCACTCCGTTGTACAGCGGATAGTAGTACGGCTGCAGCCGGTTGACCACTACAAGCGAGACAAGCAAGACCGCGAGGAGAAGCCCAATCTGCGCAAGCTGGTACTCGGACATGAAAATGGCTGCAATCACAATCGCAAGCCGCTTGCCCAGATCAGCCACCCCGCCCCACGAGTACCGCATGCGGTACAGCTTGTACAGCGCCCCAAACTGCGCAAACGTTGCTGCTTCAAGCAAGTTGTGCCGATGCTGGACCAGGCACCACAGAAAGTACGCCGGCACGCCAAAGACGTAGCATACAAGGCTGAGCACGCCCACAGGCAGCACGCTCAACCACTTCGCGTCAAAGCACGACACGCCCGGATCCACGTCGAGTACAAACGCCCCGTTCGGCAGCCGCGTGCAATCAAACATGACAAACGCCGCCCGCGCCATCGGAATGTACAGCAGCGGCGCAACCGTAAACAACGCCGCGTCCACAAGCGTCTTGATCCGCATAAACTTGAGCTCGTCGAGCCCGAACAGATCCAGCCCACGCTGCGCCCAGTACTTGAGCCCCACGAGCCCAATCATCACCACCGCCATCACCATCAGCGGCAGCGCCACGCTCGCTGCATACTTGGCGTGGAAGCTCGAGAGCGAGCACTCGGACGCAAAGAGGTTGACATCCACGTTGGCCGCATTGAACACGCTTAGCGCCGCCCGACTCGACGATGACCACCCAAAGTCGGCATCGCTCAGAATGCCGAGTACCTGAAAGACCACAAGCACCATCGAGAGACTCGCAGGCAGGACCCGGTTGCGCAGCGACTCGGGTGTCGCCTTGTCGCTCCGCTCCAGCCGCGCCGCGGCCTCGGATCGCGTCCGCGCAATGCCGATCCCGATCATCACCGCCGCCGCACACCCGATTGTTACCAGCGCTGCAATGGCGCCAAACAGCACCCCGACAGCCGCCGGCGGACATGTCACGCACTTGCCTGCAGAGTTGGAGTAGTAGTCCGGCTTGCAGATGTTGCACATGTACCCGGTGTACCCGCTCGCGCACTGCTGCCCCAGTGAGCCGCCCGGGCACCCTTCCTTCCGCCGGCATCGCACAAACACTGTCGCGTTACCTCCGCGTGTATCGCCGTAGAATCCCGGTGCGGGCACAGGCGCGCCAAGGCCCTCGGCACAGAGCCCGCCTTGTGGGCACGCCGCGCAGCTCACAATCCCATCGCTGTCGTAGCCAGACACTGTGTAGCCGGCCGCACACACACACACTGCTCGTGATGAGTTGAACCGCCCGCGCACGTCCACTGAAAACGCGCTGCACTCCCGCTGTGGCCTGCACGGCTCAAGCGCTTCCGCCAGCGTAAACGTGCCCGGTGCGCATTGGAAGCAGTCACCGATCTCTACCGCCTCGCCATTCACAAACGCAAGGCCCGATCGGTAGCCCCAGTTGATTGGGCATGGTGCAATCGCGCTCGTGCCGGTTAGGGTCGGTACCGCCGGTGCCGCCGTGCTGGAGCTCCTGGCTCCTTCCACAGGAATCGAAACTGTCACCTGTACCACAGGCAGCGGCTCGCCCGACGCCACCGCCGCTGCAACCGCGCCAGCCTCACATCGCATGCTGCCCAGTGGAAGAGAGACTTCTCCGGCCGACGTCGCGACCTCGACACGGCTTGAGGCAACGACCACGCCCTCCCCGCCCACCTCCACCTCAGCCATAACAGATGCGTACGACACCGCCACACCAAACGCGTCGCGAACCACAAAAGTGCCTTGCAGCTCTTGCCCGAGCGGTGTTGTCAACGCCGGCTCCATTGTCCATTCGACCCTTTGCGGCTGGGTGTGGATGGCTAGTGCATCGCCGCCAGCTGCCTCGGCATCGTCGTCGACCTCGATCCATGGCATGCTTGCGCCCACTTGCTCAGGAAGGCACACAAAGCCATCAGCTGACGATGCCAGGGTCGTCTCAAACACAAGCTTGTTGTCGCGCCACTCGGTCCCTTGGCCCTTGATCTGCACGGTGCCTCCGCACGCCAATAGCCCACCGCCGGCCATCAACCCAGTGTTGCCCCGCACACTCACGTCCGTCAGCGTCACTACCGCGTCCACCACCACCTCACTGTCGAGCACCACGCCGACATTCTGCACTGCAGCTACAAGAACTCGCTCATCGAGCGTCGCTGGCACCACGCCCAGAGCGCCGCCGATCCGCGCCAAGTTGTCAGCCATCGTCGACGCCGAAAAGTGCGAGCGACCGCCGGGTCGGATCGCCATACCTCCACCGATCCCGTTTGGCGCCGAGTTGTCCACCACAAAACAATCGCTCATCGACATCGCTGACGTCGCGTCCACACTCACCGCCCCACCAGAGCCCACCTTGGCCACGTTACCCACAAACGTGGTCTGGTTAGCCTCGAGCAGGCCGCCGGAAATCAGCGCCACACCGCCGCCGGAAATGTCCGCCGCGCAGTTGACGACTCGCGATCGAACAAGCTGGACCTTGCTTCCCTCGCCCATCGCAACCACCGCGCCACCATGCAGCTCGGCCGAGCACGAGTCGATTGTTGAATCGCGGGTGATTAGCGTTCCGCCGTCGACCACAAGGACCGCCCCAGCAAGTCCGCCTTCTTGCAACGCAACAGCAACACGGACCTTCGACCGGAGACCGATCACATACGATCCGTCAAGCACAAGCGTCGCCGTGCGTCCTTCAACATGGAACATTGCTGACGCGGCTTCGCGGCCACTTGGCGACGCTACCAGCCCCGACACTGTCATGTTCGCCAGGGTCAGACGACTCGTCTTGCCCGTCGCCGCCGACACATCGCCAACCATGAACAGCATCTCGTCATTGCCGCATTGGAATGTACTGTTGCGCCCAGCAACGATTATATCGTGCGTGACTCGAACATGATTGTTGCGTGTGCACTTGTAGTTGCCAGCAGCCAGTAGCAGCGTGTCTCGGGTGCACAACGATGCGCGATGGATGTTGTCGGCCAGACATCCAGCGCTGCGCGGCGCCACGGCGCATCGGCCCACCATGTTGTCAATCTCTAGTGTACGAGGCATGTACTCGGTGTACCATGATCGCGTCCGCCCCCAAATCACGTACAAAAACAGGTTCATGCCGACAAGCACGTCAGCGTCGCCGTCGCCGTCAACGTCAGCAACAACAACGGTTCGCCCTAAAAACGACGTTGACATGCTTGGTAGATACACACCTCGTCTAAAAGCTCCGGTTCCATCTGGGTTGGCGTACATCACAATCTTGTTGGTCTTGCCGTCGTTAACCGCCACATCCACATGCCCGTCGTTGTCGACGTCACTCACAGCAAGCGCATTCGCCACTACATAGATGTCAAGCACCTGGTCCGGTGCCATCGTTCCAGCTCCATCCACGTTGGCGAACCAGCGCAGGCTACCCCCAGCACCCTCGACAGTTCCGACAACCATATCCATGTCGCCATCCTCGTCGACATCCCCCAGACCAATTGTTTTGGCTCCGGCCACTGTCGCAATGTCCATAGATCCACTCCAGCTGCTGCCAACCGAGTCGAGGTTGGCGAACCAGGTGACGGCGCCGGTTGTCCTGTCAGCAACCATCACATCGGCATCGCCATCACCGTCGATGTCAACGATGACTATGTTTCCGAGCTCCGTAGACGTAACAGAAATGGTTTGTGCGGCTCCAAACGTGCCGCCGCCGTCGGTGTTGGCAAACCACGCCAGAGTTTTGAAACTTCCCAGACCCACCGCCACAAGGTCAACATCGCCGTCGCCGTCCAAATCCGCTCCGTCCAGCTGATACGCAACAGAAGACGTGTCGGTTACAACCGCCATCGGCGGGCCAAAGCTCCCCCTTCCATCCAAGTTCTGCTGCCATTCGATCGACTTGGAGTCAAACCCCACCCACACAACGTCGTGGTCATCATCACTGTCTACATCAAGTGCCAGCAGGGCTGTCACACTTTCGCCGCGATTCGAAACAAGTTGCCGTGGCCCAAACTGGCCCGCGCCATCCATGTTTGCGTACCACGCCACGTCAAAGTGGTCCAACGACGCGATTAGTGCCGCTACCATGACGTCCAGGTCTCCGTCTCCGTCAACGTCCACAGCTGCGATCGCCGAGACCTCAAACTGACTACTGATTTCCATAGTGTCGCCATAGTTGGCACCAACGTCGGCGGTGTTCTCATACCACCCCACAGCATTCAGGACTCTCTCCGAATACACAAAGTCGCCGTCGCCATCATCATCCATGTCTGCGACAGAGAGAGAGAACACGATTTCGACCGTAGGCGACACTTGCTGCACTCTATCAAAGCTTCCACTCCCCAGCCCGCGCATCCACGCTACAATGTTCGGATCCTTGTGGCTCACCACCACATCAATAACTCCGTCACCATCGACATCTCCGAGCGCCACGCTTTCGGGACTTGCAAGCTGGCTCGTTACCGCCACCGCCGCACTGAGCCCGGGTATGCCGGGCGAGTTACGGAACAGGACCACTCTGCCCTTGCACGCCACCACGTCCAGCAAGCCATCATCATTGACGTCTCCCACTGCCAAACTCGAAAAAGGTTCCGAGTCGTCGGCGATGGTGAGGCCCGGAGCAAAGGACCCGCTTCCGTTGTTGAAGAAGAGCACAATGTTAGTGTCACGGCCCATCACGACATCCATGTCACCGTCAGAGTCGGCGTCGACAGCAGCGAAACCACACTTGGCCCCAGGCGGCATGTCAAACGAAACACTACCGGACCCGAAACTTCCAGTCCCGCCCAAGTTTGAAACCACTGGGCAGACAATGCGCCGCAAGCAAGGACGTCTGTAAAGCCGTCGCCGTCTAGATCGGCTGCAGCAACAGCTTCGGCTAAAACCAAGCCCACGACAATGGTCTGCGGTGCCGAAAACGTGCCCGCCCCGTCGACGTTCTCCAGCCACGACACGCCGTGAGTCGGTAGCGGCGCCACGACGAGATCCTGGTCGCCGTCGCCGTCAACGTCAAAGGCAATCACAGACTGAGATACAGGCGCGGCCGAAATAACTCGCTGGCTTCCGAGCTGCCCGCGACCGTCGACATTTGGGTACCAGGAAATGAGCCCAGAGGATGCGGAGACCACGTCGTAGTCACCATCACCATCGAGGTCCACGGGAAGCGTACCAAAGGGATTGTTGACGTAATGATCGACGTTGGCACCTACAAATTCCCCGCTGCCGTTGTTGGCGAACCACGAGACAATGTTGGAGGCATAGCGGGAGACGGCGACAAGATCGATGTCGCCGTCGCCGTCGCCGTCGCCGACACCCAGCCCAACAATACCATTGGTCGTCGGGCCGGAGCTCACCACCTGCTCGCTACCAAAGCTCCCGAGACCATTGGTGTTCTCAAACCACGCCAACGTGTCGTCGGACTCGGAGGCAACGACAATGTCGAGCTTGGCGTCGCCGCTGACATCAACAACAGCGATGGCTGCAAGGCCACTCGCCGCTGCGGTCACCACCTGTGGTCCGCCAAAAGTCCCACCGCCGGTATTCCTCACCCACGCTACGGTGTTGTCCCAGTAGCCGCCGTACACAATGTCGATGTTGCCATCGTTGTCTACATCGGCCGCAACGACGGCAGCCGCGCCATCGGATGCCACCACCACAGTATGCGAGGCAAAGGCACCGGCGCCGTCGGTGTTGCGAAACCAGCCGACCTTGTCGTCCGAGTACGAGGCAAAGACAACATCGATGTAGGTGTCCCCGTCCACGTCGGCGAGCGCAACAACCTCGACGCCTTGCGTCAGCGACGGCAGCACCCTCTTGCCCGAGAACATGCCGGCACCATCGATGTTGGCGAACCACGCGATCTCGTGGTCAAGATTGAGCGCAACGACAACGTCCACATCGCCGTCACCGTCCATATCACCCGTGGCCACGCCCTTGGGACCGTTGATATCCGCCATGGCCACCCGCTGCGGAGGGCCAAACGAGCCTGCGCCATCGAGGTTCTCGAACCACAAGATGGCGTCAGCGGCAAACATTGTCGCGACGAGGTCGAGGTCGGAATCGCCGTCGACGTCGGTGGCTGCCAAACCGCGGATGTCCGACACGAGGCCCTTTTCGGGCGTATAGATAGTATTGATCGCAAGATACTCGTTGAGGGTGGCGTTGTACTTGCGCCAACCGAGATGGGCGCCCGGGACGACCAGCTCGTTTAGGCCGTCGCCGTCAACATCGGCAAAAATCGCCACCCGCGCTGCCTGTGCCGTACCCGACGCAGAGCCGCTGACCGCAACATGACGCGGCGCCGTGATCTCGCTGCGACACTGTGGGAGGTCCGGAGCCGAGTTGCCCCTGACCGGAGTGAAGAGAACGAGAGCAAACAGAGCAAAAACAGCAAAAATACTGCTGACGGCGCGAGACTTTCGCGAAAACAGACACCACGTGGTCTGCGCGCTCCCGGAATTGGCAGCAGCAGACAGGCCACAGGGAGGACGCCCAAGGTCGTCCACGGCAGCATGGGTATGGCCGAGATCATGCATGCTGCGCTGAACACTTCTCATAGTCCGCCAAGCTGGGGAGGCTGTGGAAGAGGAATGTCCGGCAACGGCAACGGCAGGTGCAGCCGGTTCGGTTGCAGGTGGTGGAAAGAGCCAAGACAGCTCGGCTTGGCTAAACTTTGCAAAGCTACCATTTTTGGGGGGAGGAGGCGAGGCGCCTCAGCCGCGCGATCCCGGGGCGGCCGGCGACGACTGGACGCGGGCAGCGCCCCCGCCGACGTGGATCTCGGGTGAAACAAAGGCCATGACCCAGAACAAAAGGCAGTGGACCATGAGCATGTAGCCGACGACGCCGAGACGGGCAAGCGGGTAGCGTTGCAGAAAGCCGCCGAGCGAGAGCGAAAAGGTGTCGAGAACACGCGCAGCCGAGCCGACGCGCTTGGCTACCGGCCCGGAGCTCGGGTTGCGCTCGTCGAGGAACGGCAGGGCGGCGGCGGTGGGCTTGAACCGATGCCGTGGGCCCGAGGCGTAGGCCCCGTCATCAAGCTGGTCAAAGCTGGGCATGTCGATAAGGGTGGCGCCCGGGAGCGAGACTCCGGCCGGCTGCTGCTTGCGGAGGGCAGCGAGCTCGCGCTCGAGCCCCTCCAGCCGCAGCATCAGCGTCTGCTTCTCAGTCGAGAGCTCTTCGATGACCGCTTGCTTGGCATACACAGTGTCGCCGACGGCAGCCAGTTGCTCGCGGAGCTCGGCTTCGCTGGGCTTGAGGCGGCGAGCCGAGTCGAGCTGGGCTAGCAACTGTGCCTCGCGGTCGGCTGCGGCTGCTACCGCGGCCTTGGTGGCCTCCTCGGCCGCGCGCGCCTCTTCAGACGCAGCGGCCGCAACTTGCAACCGCGACACAGCCTCGCGCTCCAGCGAAGCCACGCTAGCCTCTGCACGGGTCGCCGCCTCGGTTGCGGCGCGGAGCTGCGAGACCAGAAGCTCCTTCTCGGCGGCGGCAGCAACGGCTACTTCCTCGGACCTGGTCATTGCTTCGTTAAGTTGTGCGGTAGCGGATGCGAGCGCAAGCTTGAGCTCGTCGCGCTCGAGCCGAAGCTGGGCTGCGTCGCCGGCGGCAGCGGTAGCAGCCCCCGGGCCGCCGAAGCCATTGGAGCCAGCTCGGAGCTCAGCAATGACCTTGTTGTTCTCTTGTAGGACCGACGACGCGCGGGCCTGGTACTCGCTAAACTCGCGCTTGACCGACGCCAGCGCGGCGCGGGTCTCGGCGAGGCCGGCAACAGCGTCGGCACGGGCCTCTGCTTCGGCTGCAGCCTCGGCCTGGCTTGCACCCAGAGCCTCGGCCATGCCAGCAAGCTCGGTCTCAAGCTCGGCCTCGCGGGCCGACGTCACGCCGCGCGCTGCGGCCACCTTTTCGTCGCGAGCCGCAACCTCGGCCTCGAGCTCGCTAATTCGCTCACTCAGCCTCGCCCGCTCCTCCTCAAACTGGCTGCCCGACGAGAGGAGCGCCGTCTTGCGAGCCTCCAGCTGGGTTTGCAAGTCACGATTCGCCGAGTGCGCCGACGCCAGCTGCGCCTCAAGCCCGGCCGCAGCAGCCTTAAGCTCGTTGATCTCGCCGTTGGCCTCGTCCACCATAGCCTGGGTCTTGTCCCCTGCCGCCAGCGCTGCCTGCAGCTCGGCCTCGCGTTCCGCGGCCGCCTCCTTGGAGCGTCGGACCGCAATCTTGGCCTTGCGCAGCGTCTCCTGCAGCGCTGTGTTCCGCGCGCGCGCCGTCCGAAGCTCGCGCTTCAGCACCGCGGTCTCCAAATCGTCGTCGTCCTCCTCCTGCGCAGCCGTGGCAGATGCGGGCGGCGACGGCGCGACAAGCGCGGGCTCTTGTGATACCGTAAGCTCGCTGCTCATCGCGCCCGCACCCGAGCCCGAGCCACGCTCAGTCGGCGACGAGGCAAGCTCTGGCAAGCTGGCGGGTTCGGCCAGCTTGGACGGCGAGCCGGTGTTGAGGAAGGCCATGAGATCGGCCGATGAGGCCGATGGCGAGCGTGACACAAACGGCGACGGCCGTAGACTCTGCGCAGCAGTGCTCTTTCCTGATGGCGAGCTTGATCCACTAGCCAGTCCAGCCCTTGCCAGAGCCACGGCAGCTGCATCACTACCGGTACCTGTATTCGGTGCCAGATCAGGTGCCATTGCATGCACGCGTGGTGCCTGTACAGACGATGGCTTCATCGGAGACAAAGGCGTGGCGGATATGATCTTGGTGGTGGTAGTAGTGGGTATGGATGTGGCGGGTGGTGCAGTCGTCGTCGTCGTCGTCGTCGTGGTAGCCACGGTGGCCGGAGGCGTGGCTGTGTCGTCGGCTTCCACAAACTCGTCAAACTCGGCAAACGAGTCGTTGGCGGCATCGGTGTCTGTGGAGAGGAAGGGTGAGGGATAGGGTGGGAAGGGCGAAAGGGGACGGGAGGGAGGGGACGGGAGGAGGGGAGGGGAGGGAGAGAGGGGGGGGGAGGGGGGAGGGGGAGGGCGTACCCAGTGCCTTCTTCAGTGGCTCGAGTTTGGTGGAGGCAGACTGGTCCATGGCGTCGAGGAAGGACGAGGCGGTGGAGAACCATGACGACATGGCGGAGGGGAGGGGAGGGGAGTGGAGTGACTGATGGCCGGGGTGCAGTGGCAGGTGTGGCTGGCTGTCGTGGTGGTCGTGTGTTGGCTCGTTGGCTGTTGGCGCACGGGCGGGCGGCGGGTGGTGAGATGATGGGATGGGATGGTGATTGTGGGTTTAAAACAAGCAACATCAGGGCACATCTTTGGCATCGGCGCCGCGAGGCTCGCGCTTGAGAGAGACCTCGTACATGGCATCCTCGTCAAGTAGCTTGGTGGTGGTGAAGAGAGCCTGGATGGCTGGAATGGGCTCGTAGTTGAACTCGTACTGTTGGAAGCGAAGGACACCATCGTCGATGATCTTAGAGGTCATGAGGTGGCGGGCCATGGAGAGGACCGACTTGGATGCGCCACGGAGATGCTGCGCGTTGCCGTCCTTGGCAAGGACAAGGTCATGGAGGGTGAGCCAGAGGTACGGGACCACGGCCTGGTGGGTGGCGTTGAGAACGGCGCGGTACTTCCCGTAATTGCGCTCGGTGGACATGGCAGCTTCGACCTTGCGGAGCAGCTTGCGGGCCTTGGACGAGACGAGCTTGCGGGTGTGGGCGAGGCGAAGGATCGGCGCCGAGTTGAGGGCGCCCACAATGGCCATGGTCGCATTGTAGTTGCGCATCTTGTACAGCTCGCCCATGATGCCAACCATCTTGTCATACGCACGCGCGCGCTCGGCCTTTGTGAACGGCTTGATAACCTCGAGAGTAACCCAGAGGTAGAGCCTGTTGAAGAACGAGATGAGTTCGATGACGTTGCGCGCCGAGAGCGAAGTCTCCTCGGACATCCACGGTGTGTCGACCAACTCGGGCTTGCGGATGGCATGGAACATACCCGACTCGATGACGGTCAGCTGGCGCGCAATCTCCACGTCCTTGCACGAGTAGACCGAGAGCTGGTTGCCCGAGGCAAGGTCAGGATACACCGGGTCCGGCATCTTCTCCGGCCACAGAAACTCGGCGTGCTGCTCGTACGAGAGCGAGTCGCGGAGCTCGCGGAGCATCGACGCCTCCTCACTTAGCCCGGCGGCAGGCGCCTCACTCGCCACAAACTGGTCCAGCGCTCGCGCCATGGCCGGCGTGCTGACAAAGTCGTCATAGTAAAAGTCTGAGACCCAGCCACCGATGAGGTCCAGAACCCGCGACTGAAGCTGCGGAAGGACGAGGCCAAGCTTGCCCGCGTGCGCAGCCGTGGCGTGAAAGAGCGTCCGCAGCATGCCAAACACCTTGAGCGATGAGGTAAAGACACGGTAGTTGAGGAAGAAGACCGACTCGAAGAGCTCGTCATTCGGACGAGTCACTAGGTACTCGACGAGGCGGACGAGTGCGCCCTGCTTGACCGTTGTCACACCGTAAACACGCGAGAGCTCAGTCTCCAGTGGCGGCGCGGCGTCGAGCTCGGCCCAGTACCCGGGATACTCGGTGACGTCGGGCGTGGTCTTGCCCTTGATGCTAATGGACCGGGCCCGCGACGACGACCGCTTGCTCCGCTGCAAGGCCGGTGAGAGCAACGCAGCGTTTGCCGACTTGGTCCCAGGCGTTCGCCGTGCCTCGGCACGTACCTCGAGATACGATCCGATCTGCTCAAACTTGAGCAGCTGCTCAAAGGCCTCCTTTTGCGAGAGCGGTGGAAGGGCGGTGCGGCCAGCCGACATAGAGAGCGCTCGCGACCGCCGCCGCCCGCCCGCCCGTGCCTGGATCGCGTGAGGCGCAAGCAGGTGGCTCGCCGACACCTCGTCCACCGGTGCCGAGACATTCAGCAGCGCCTCAGGCCTGGTCATGTTAGGCGCAGCGAGGGTACCAGCCCGCGACCGGCCGCCGCTGCCGCTGCCACTTCCGCCATGCAGCGAGATTGAGCGCCGGTTGGCCCGCCGCTGCGACGTGACGTCGCTTTGCAACAGCTGCAATCGCGACACGCCCGGCGGCGGACCCGGACGTGGAGCCGACGACTCGGAGTGGCTCGCGTCGACGACAATGGTGATGCCGCCTGCAACCAAGTGGTCGGCGGGTGAGTCGGCGCTCGAGATCGACGATGGCGGCGAGACGTTGAAGACCGGCATGCCGCCACGCCGCGATTCACCATCCAACTCGTGAGCATACTCGTACTCCTCCGTCTCTGGCTGTAGGTGCAACGAAGCTCTCGGCCGCGGCGACCGCGGGAGCGTGCCACCGGGCGTCGGCGCCGAGCCGCGAGCGGTAGACACACGCGGACTGGGTGAGAGCGAGTCGTGGACGCCAAGGCTCGGTGCGTCCGAGTCAGAGTTGCTACCCGAAGGAGCCCTGCGGGCCGAGCTGGCCTGCGCAGCCGCAGCCTCACGTGCGCGGCGCCGACGCATTTGCTCCTTGTTCGACGCCGAGAGGACTGAGGGTGCACCATGGTGTACAGCTTTGATCTCGACCGATGGCGGGATGCCGCGGCGGTAGCGCTGGACATGCGCGTCGCGAGCGTCGGCCTCCTGATGAGCAATGCGGACCGCAGTCCGCATGCGGGCCTCGCGAGCGCGCGCTTCGGGCGACGCAATGCCGTCGCGGGTGCGCGGCCTGGCCTGCGGCTTGGCAGGTTGCGGCGACGGCGTCCGCGGTCGTGCTCGGGCTAGCGGATCCCGGGCGGTGAGCGTGCGAGCAACAGCAAATAGGCGGACCGGACCAGAGAGGTGGAACTCGCTTGACGATGCCCGTGGCGCTGACCGCGGACGCGATCGCGAGTCATGGCTGGCCGACGCCGGCGACATCAGCGCCGCCGCGGCCTTGGCGCGGGCCTTGGCCGCGGCCTGCGCCCGAGTCCTTGCCCGCGAGCCTTTGTTCCGCGATGAACGCCCCTTGCGCTTGGCAGCAGCAATGCGTTCGATGAGCTCGGTGTCCGGGCCGCGACGAGCGACGGTGCCAGCCGACATTGAGCGGTCATACGTGACATGGAGTTGCTTGTGCAAGCGGCGCTTCGTCCGGCGGGCCCGAGACGAGGTCTGCTGCGGACGCTCTGCAGTCCACATTGAGCGCGGAAGGACCGCAAGCGAGGCACCCGGATCGGCGGCCGCGTTGGCCGGTGAGCTCTGCAAGTCGAACGTTGAGAGCGGGCGTGACGAGGCCCGGCTTTGGCGGCGATGCTTGCGGCGGAGGCGGTCCTGTTCGGCCTCGGAAAGTACATGGACACCCGGTGACGTGGGAATGGCGGCGCGGCGTGCGGCCTCGGAGGCGTGGGCCTCGAGCTGTGAGGCGCGGGTCAAGGCTTTGGACGCCCGGCGAGCTCGTGCTTGCTCGCGCACATGATCGCGGATCGGGTTTTGCAGAGCGCGAGCAGGAGTGCCAGCAGTGGCTTGCTCCTTGCAGCGCTCGTGGGCCGAGCCGCGGTCGGCAGTCCTTGCGGTTGGCTGCTGCACGTTGGCTTTGCTCCGCTTCGGCGTCGCCGGGCGATCGTACTCGTTGGCCGCCGGCTCCGGATCAGCAGCCTCCAGCGGCAGGCTTGGGGAGGGGGTTGGGGCCGGCTTCTTGCGCTCGCGGGTAGGCCGGCGGCGGCCCCGGACTCGCGAGTTTGCCCGGTCACGCAAAGGAGTCAGAGCCGGTGCAGCCTGGCTCATAGTCTTGGCCGTAGACTTGAGTGAGGATGGTGGTGAGAGCGATTGGGGTTGGGGCGAGGGTGAGGGTGAGGGTGAGGGCGAGAGCGAGGGCGAAGATTTGGCGACGTGATGGATGGCAGAGGCGTCCGATTCGGTGTCGGAGGACGTGAGCGAGGCCGAGGGTTCAAGCTCAGGAGTGAGCATGCGGGCATGCTGTGGTGACGTGGAAAGTGTGAGATTGTCGACGACAGCAGCGTCGGTCCGAGCCGGAGACGCAGCCGGGGCTGGAGCTAGCTGAGACGCAACCGGGGCCGGAGCTGGCGGGGATGCTGCCGGGGCCGGAGCTGGCGGAGACGCAGCCGGAGCCGGAGCTGGCGGAGACTCAGCCGGAGCTGGAGCTGGCGGAGACGCAGCCGGAGCTGGAGCTGGCGGAGACGCAGCCGGAGCCGGAGCTGGCGAAGACGCAGCCGGAGCTGGAGCTGGCGGAGACTCAGCCGGTGCTAGAGCTGGCGAAGATGCAGCCGGGGCCGGAGCTGGCGGAGACGCAGCCGGAGCCGGAGCTGGCGGAGACTCAGCCGGAGCTGGAGCTGGCGGAGCCGGCTGAGCAGGCGGCGGCGCCGTGGCCAGAGTCACGTCCGGCAGCGAGATGGAAGGAAGATAGATTTCATCATCAGAAGAGTCAGCCAAGACATGGTCAATATCCAACGAGTCTGATGTGTGCAGGCCGTGCATAGCCAGTGAGAGCGTAGCGCCTGCAAACCCCCAACCCCCACCGACCGGAGCACCGTGCGCGGGAGAGTCCGATCGCGCCACCCACGAGCAGCCACGGATAACCAGCACCACAAGCCACAGGTAAGTAGCAACAAGAACTGGGGTGCTTCACAACCGCATTCTCCCCTTCATAACACGCCCTATACCGTGGTCTGGTGAAGAACAGCACACAAGGTTGGCCTGCTTGCCCCCGTCTCGGGTACCCATGCCAAAGTCGGGCCTCGACGAGATGTCTGACACTTGGCCCCTTGCAACGGCAGTCGTGCAAGTTTGGTGGCCACCTGACGGGGAAGAAGCAGAACCAGTGCGAAGCGCTGAGAGAGAGAGAGAGAGAGAGGGGAAAACACCCTCTTCCCTCTCAAGATGAATGGGGGAAAGGGGGAGAGACGATGCGTTTACCCCGTTCAGGAGACTCAGCCCGAGCTGGAGCTGGCGGAGCCGGCTGAGCAGGCGGCGGCGCCGTGGCCAGAGTCACGTCCGGCAGCGAGATGGAAGGAAGATAGATGTCATCATCAGAAGAGTCAGCCAAGACATGGTCAATATCCAACGAGTCTGATGTGTGCAGGCCGTGCATAGCCAGTGAGAGCGTAGCGCCTGCAAACCCCCAACCCCCACCGACCGGAGCACCGTGCGCGGGAGAGTCCGATCGCGCCACCCACGAGCAGCCACGGATAACCAGCACCACAAGCCACAGGTAAGTAGCAACAAGAACTGGGGTGCTTCACAACCGCATTCTCCCCTTCATAACACGCCCTATACCGTGGTCTGGTGAAGAACAGCACACAAGGTTGGCCTGCTTGCCCCCGTCTCGGGTACCCATGCCAAAGTCGGGCCTCGACGAGATGTCTGACACTTGGCCCCTTGCAACGGCAGTCGTGCAAGTTTGGTGGCCACCTGACGGGGAAGAAGCCGAACCAGTGCGAAGCGCTGAGAGAGAGAGAGAGAGAGGGGAAAACACCCTCTTCCCTCTCAAGATCATGCATAGGGGGGAGGGGGGAGAGGGGGGGGGGGCGTACCTGTGCTGTTGAGGTTACATTCAGAAATGGATGATACCTCAATGTCCATGAGGAGGTCATCGTCGGAGGAGGCCAACAAGTCAGCATCGTCCGAGTCGGACCAAGACATGGCCGAAAAACGAACTCTACTGTGTGACGAGTGACGGAGAGGTGTCGGAGAGGTGACGGTGATTGGGGTGAGTGAACGGATTTGTGATTGGACCGGTGATTGGCCTCATCGCAGGTGACAAATTGATTGGTGATGGGTGAGAGAGGACAAAAACAAAGCGGGGTAGAGAGGGAAAAGACAGGGGCGAAGGGCAGAGGAGCCACAACAGAACAAAGACAACCAACAGATACTACGACGACGACGGTGATAGGCTTGACTGGGAATCTCAAGACAAATGAAGTGGGCAAGTGTGATAGCGGCTATGCCGCAACTCCCTATTCCCTTTGGATGGCTGAGGACGTACTCGTGGGCGAGTCTCCCGCGTGATCTCATGGCTGGTCTGACTGTTGGCACCATGCTCATTCCGCAGGGTCTGGCGTATGCCAAACTGGCGTCGCTACCGCCAATTGTTGGCCTGTACTCGTCGTTTGTGCCGATTCTGATGTATGGCATGCTCGGCCAATCGCCGCATCTGGCACACGGGCCTGTGGCACTTGTGTCGCTGATGGTGGGCGAGGCTGTGGAGGCGGAGGCTGCGCTGCTTGCTGACGCCGCCGATGACACGGATGCGTTCCGGCTGGGCGTGGCGGCGCTGATGGCTCTGATTGCCGGTGCGGTGCTGATGATCATGGGTGCGCTGTCTGCCGGACCGCTGCTCAACTTTCTCTCGCACCCTGTGCTTGCCGGGTTTACCTCTGCGGCGGCGATCATCATCGGAGCGTCGCAGCTGAAGCACGTGTTTGCGGTCGATGTGCCGTCAGACTCGGTGCCGGGCAAGATTGTAGACGTGATCAGCAGGTGGGACGATATCAACTGGTGGGCGGTGCTTGTGGCGAGCCTGGCGTTTGCAGCCCTGCTTGTCTTCAAGTTTTCCGGGCGGCGGTGGTCGCAGATCAAGCTGGTGCCTGGCGTTGTGGTTGTCGTCATTATCTCAATTGCGATTGTCTGGGGTGCGCGGCTGGACAAGGAGAGCTCTGCCGACCTCAAGATTGTGGGAGTCATTCCGTCTGGCCTCTCGATTGCGGCGTGGCCGTCGTTTGATTGGGACATTTTCCTGCGGTTGGCGATCAAGGCAGCGCTGGTGGCGCTGGTCGGATTCCTGGAGACGGCGTCGGTGGGCAAGGCCTTTGCCAACAAGTATCAGTACGAGTTTGACGCGAACTTGGAGCTGTTTGCGGTCGGTGCGGCGAACATGGTTGGCGCTTTCTTTTCATCGTATCCGACGGTGGGTGGCTTCTCGCGGACGGCGGTCAACGCGGTGGCCGGCGCGCGGACGCAGGCTGCGGGCTTGGTGTCTGCGGTGCTGATGGGCGCGACTCTGCTCTTTCTCACGCCGCTCTTTGAGTATCTGCCCAACGCGGTCCTGGCCGCCGTCATCTTGGCTGCTGTCACCTCGCTCTTTGAGATCAAGGCTGCCAAGCACCTGTGGGCCGTCTCCAAGCCGGACTTTGTGGTCATGTCTGTGACCTTTGTGGCCACGCTCGTGTTCGGCATCGAGTACGGCATTCTCATTGCGGTTGCGTTCTCGCTGGCGGTCTTTGTCAAGCAAGCCGCACATCCGCACGCTGCGGTTGTCGGCCGGATCAAGGGCACGTCGGTCTGGCGCAACGTCAACCGGTACTCTGGGCTGGAGGTGACACGTGGGCTGCGTGTATGGAGGATGGACGCGCCGCTGTTCTTTGGCAACGCGCACTGGTTTGTCGATGCAGTCAAGGGTGTGGTCCGAGACGATGGCGATGGCGAAGCGCTAGCGGCGACGGCAGACTCGGCGACAAGCTCGACGGCGTCAGAGGAGAGCGATGAGGAGTCGGTCTCGGCCGACGCGCCGCGGACTCGGCTGCCGGGCGGGCCGGTGACCAAGCTTGTTATCGACATGTCGGGCGTGGCCTCGATCGACGCGACCGGCATAGAGGCGCTGGTGGAGGTCATCGAGTGGCTGGCGAGCGAGAGCGTTGCTCTCAGCCTTGCAGCTGTCCGTGGCCCGGTCCGTGATGCATGGCGCAACGAGGCCACGGGCCTCCTGAGTGTCTTTGACATCGACGAGCACGCCTATCTCGACGTCAGCTCTGCCGTTGAGGATATCAAGACCCTCTCATCCGTCTCGTCTGACCACACCTCCAGCGCAAGTGCGTCGACCACCGAGCGATCGTCGTCATCGATCTCGTCATCCTCGTCAAGCTGACCGTACCCCCCCCTCCCCCACTCCATGATGAAAGATGAGGCGCACTACAAGGAAAAAGGAGAAGCTTATTGGATATGATGGGGTGTGAGGGGGTGAGCAGGCTTTGTTGGTGAGGAGCGTGGTTGATGGGGCGGCGGGCGGCGGGCGGCGGCACGCGCCAAGCGACCCGGCCGAGTGCGGGGCGCACCACCCAACTCCCGCAGGTCTATGTCGACGACTAAGCAGTGCAACGCATGCTGGGAGGAGAAGGCTTCCAGCGAGTTCTCCAAGGCCCAGTGGAAGAAGCCTGTTCGGCGCTGCAAGGTCTGCATCGACGCCGGGGCGCCCACCACCGACGCCCCCCCTGCTGCGGCTGCCCCCGCAGCTGACGGCGGCGACGACGTTCAGGAGCAGGTCAAGGCTGAGGCTGATGCCGAGGCTGCCGCAAAGGCCGCAAAGGCTGAGGCCGAGGCAAAGGCCGAGGCCGAGGCAAAGGCTGAGGCCGAGGCAAAGGCCGAGGCCGAGGCAAAGGCCGAGGCCGAGGCAAAGGCTGAGGCCGAGGCAAAGGCCGAGGCCGAGGCAAAGGCCGAGGCCGAGGCAAAGGCTGAGGCCGAGGCAAAGGCAAAGGCTGAGGCTGAGGCTGCCGCAAAGGCAAAGGCTGAGGCCGAGGCAAAGGCTGCCGCAAAGGCAAAGGCTGAGGCTGAGGCTGAGGCTGCCGCAAAGGCAAAGGCTGAGGCTGAGGCTGAGGCTGCCGCAAAGGCCGAGGCTGAGGCTGCCGCAAAGGCGGCGGCAGCAGCAAAGGCAAAGGCTGAGGCTTCGGCCAAGGCAGAGGCAGAGGCCGCCAAGGCGGCGGCGGCTGCAGAGGCTAAGGCTGCTGCAGAGGCCAAGCAGGAGGAGGAGGATGCCAAGGCCGCCGCCGCCGCCGCAGAGGCGGAGGCCGCCGCAGAGGCGGAGGCCGCCGCCGCTGCAGAAGCAGAGGCTCAGGCTCAGGCTCAGGCTCAGGCTGAAGCCGAGGCCGCCGCCAAGACGCTTGCCAACGACCACGCCGCCGCCCAGGCCGCTGCTGCAGACGCCGCCGCCGCCGCAGAGGCCAAGGCCGCCGCAGACGCTGCTGCAGACGCTGCTGCTGCAGACGTTGCTGCCGCCGAGGCTGCTGCAGATGCTGCCGACGACGCTGCCGCCGAGGCCGAAGCCGATGCTGCAGACGCTGCCGAGGTGCAGGCTGCTTCCGAGGAAGCAGCTGGCGCCGCGGCGCTGGACGCGGCTGTAGCGGGCGAGGAGGCGCAGGAGGCGGCGGCGGAAGCCGTCGAGCACCACCGTGGGCACCGAGTCAAGGTCAAGAAGCACCGGCGGAAGGCCAAGCACGAGGCAGACGTTAGTGACGAGGCCGCCGCCGGCGCGTCGACCGGGCCGGTTGTGCCCGACGGCCTGCCGCCGGCCGAGGCTGCACAGTACCAGGCGTACCTGGACGCGGCGGCGACCAAGGACTTGTCGCACTTTGACGAGCTCAACATCCTGTACTCGATCGGGCGCGATGCCAAAGACCACGTCGTCCTTGTCTTCCTCGCCTGCCAGCTTCCCAAGTTTGACGCCGATCTGTACTCGGACCTCTTCCTGTACATCCACTGGAAGCTGGCCACCGAGGTCGCTACCTCGAGCTACAAGCTCGTCTACGTCCACTCGGGCATGACCAACACGCCCAAGTTCTCGTGGATCAAGAAGGTCTACTCGCTCTTCTCGCGCACCTTCAAGAAGTCGCTCCGCACCCTGTACATTGTTGAGCCGTCGTTCTGGCTCAAGAACATCATGCGCATGATGCGCCCGTTCATCTCGTCCAAGTTTGTGGCCAAGCGCCGCTACGTGCCCACCATTGCCGACCTCTTCACCATCTACGACCCGGCCCTCCTCGCTCTCCCTGACGCCATTGTCCCGCCGGGCGCCACTCCGGCCCCGCGTCCGAAGCGCTCCTCCTCCTCCGCCGCCAAGAAGCGCAAGTCCAAGCGCCGCTCCGACCGCGCCGCCGCCTCTGACACCGCAACGCCCGACGACGCCAACCCCTCGGTCCCCCGCCGCTCCTCCTCTCTCAACGTCGACGCCATCTCTGCCGCCCGCGATGCCGCCGCCACCGATCCCACTGCCGAACCCGCCACCGAGCCCGCCACCGAGCCGACCGACGCATAAACCCCATCCCCCCTCACACCACTGTCTGTGCTCCATGGTCACCACAAAAGAAAAAAAATCCCGCCCCGCCCCCCCCTCCCCTCCCCAAGCCCGAGGACTCGACCGCATCCAGGCTCGAACAAAAATCAGTTCACACCACCAAGCTCCTCTCCGCCCTGGCCCACTCACCGACATGGCGTCGTCGTCTTCAGAGACCGTCTCCCAGTCGGTGGTCATGGACCGCAAGCTTATTGCCGGTCTCATCCAGCGGCTTTCATCATGGGTACGTTTACCCTCTATCTCTCACCCTCACCCTTCCTTCTTCTTTCGTCTCTCTCCCTCTCCTGTGCTCCTTCCCCATCCCCATCCCCATCCATCCCCGTCCTGCCCACCATTCCAAACCAAAGTCTGCACCTCAGCCTGCCCACGCCCACGTCCCCCCCTCCCCCTCCCCCTCCCCCTTCTCCCCTCCCATGCCCCTACCTCCATCCCCGCCACCCCCACCACCACCCCTATCTCCACTCCCCCTCCCCTTCCTCTCCCTCTACCCCTCCCTCCTATCCCTACCCATTACCCCACATGCCCCCCCCCTCCCCAATTCCCCCTGTCATGCCCCTCCGACCACCTGTACTTTTTTTGGCCACCCATCAACACACACAGCCACCGCACCCCCTCACCCCCACCCACCCCCCCCCTCTCCTCAGCTCCCTATCAACAACCCGGCATCGTCGCTCTCGCTTGACTTTCAGGATGCTATGCAGCTGCAGAACGTGGAGGCGCTGGTCAATCTCTCCGAGTACCGTATCCAGCATGTGGTCAATGGCCTCATCTCGCTGCTGGAGCAGAACAAGCTCGCGCCGTCCGACGTGGGCTCGACTGACTCTATTCGCCACGCTCACTCGCAGCTGCACATCTGGAGGGTACTGGGCAAGTGCATGGCGTATGCGTGGCAGCAGCATATCGACTCGCAGCCCATCGACCCCGAGCTCGAGGCCATGGGCATGCCCAAGCCGGTCGTCGACCCGCCGCCGCTCGACAACGAGCTGGCTGAGCACGTCCTCCTCCTCACTGCCGGCACCATCCTCACGCCGCACCCTCTCCTCAACGACGAGCTCACCGCCGAGGCTGGTAACGTCCTCTTCCACCTCTCAGCATCCAACTTTGACGTCGTCTTTGCGCAGATCAAGCTCAAGATCAAGAACCTGCTCGTCCAGCAGTCGGAAGAGGATCCAGCAACCTCGGAGCTCCTGCTCATTCAGCACATCAACTTTAACGCCGAGCGCCTCGCTGACCTCGTCCAGGAGCTCTCGCGATCGCTCTCGTCGTTCAAGAAGAACTCAACCCAGATCGTGGCCACCTCGCTCCGAGTCGCCATCTGGAACTGGATCAACCAATACCCGCTCGAGTTTGTGCTCCTCTGCCAGAGCGGCCACCGCATGCGCGGCAACCCGGACGTCCTCTTCGACATCTTCTACGCTCTTGCCGACAACACTAAGCGCAAGGTCGCTTACTGGCCGCTCATGACCATGCTCCTTGTCCTCTGCCCCGACCACTTTCTCAAGGCCGTCTCACCGCAAGAAAAGGCCGGCAAGCCGACCAACAAGCACCAGTTCCTCAAGGCGCTCGAAAAGGGCCTGCAGAACCCCAAGCTGACCGACGCCTGTGCCATTTCGTACGTCGATATCTGCAAGGCCTCGACCTATGTCCGCAAGACCGACTTTTCGCCGCTCCGCTACCAGGTGCCCGCCATCGAGCGCGCCCTCCGCCAAAAGCTGTTCGACCCCAAGCGGATGGCGACCTCGACCGAGCTGGCGCCCGAGGAGATGGCCCTTATGGTCGACTGCCTCACCTCGCTCTATCTCCTCAACCCCTCGTCGGTCCTCGAGGGCATTTTCCAGCAGATGCTCAACTTCCAGTCGCCGCCCATCTTCCGCCTCGTCCTCATCCGTGCTCTCCGCGAGATTGTCAAGGGCGGCGCAAAGCTTCCGTGGAACCCCACTATTGAGCTTGCATACCCGTCCATCTCCTCGCAGCTCCGCTCGCTTCTCAAAGAGCAGCTTGCCTACGACCGCGCGCCCACCATCGAGGCCTCGTCCAAAAAGTCCAAAGCCCAGCTCGCCGAAGTCGCCCTCAACATCGAGATCCTCTGCTCGCTCATCGCCCTCTTTGAGGAGGACCCCATGCTCGGCTTTTACAACACCTCGGAAGACCCGTCCATCCACCGCTCCGACTCGCGCATGCTCCTCACCGGCCTCTGCTCCGGCCTCAACCCGCGCGAACTCGAGCGCGTCATGCACCGCGCCGTTGCTGTCATCTCCAAGTTCCACAAGCCCGACATCATCGCCGCCTGGTGTCCGCCCGAGATGCTCTCGGCCTTTTGGGAGATCTCGTCCGCCGTCTCGTCCTCAATCGCCTCACTCATCATCCAACAGCGCGACATCTCGGACCTGGCCGCCAAGCGCCACATTAAGCTCCTCATGCACCTCCTCTACGAGTGCCTCGAGTCATCCAACGACTTTCTCGCCTCCGACTATGTCAAGGACCTCGACACGCTCTGCACCGTCGCCATGTACAAGCCGCGCGCCCGCTCCTCCATCAAGATTGAGCACGCGCTGCTCATCTGCCTCTGCTCTGGTGAGCCCGAGATCTGTTCGCAAGCCGCACGCTGCTTTGGCCTCATCTGCGGCCAGGCCTCGCTCCTCTTGGAGTCGTCGGTCGACCAGTTTGACGCAGACTCGCCCATGCGCAAGACCCCGCTCGCAAACTTCTCTGTCTACCGCTTCATGCAAGCCCTCGGCAACAAGGTCATGGGCCGCGAGCACCAGCAGAAGGAAATCCGCAAGCTCATTCGTCAGACCAAGGCTCAGACGCCAGGCTCCATCGCCGCTTGGCGGTCTGTCAACGACCGCTGGACCGAGAACACTCCGCTCATTCTCGAGCTCGACACCAAGACCAACGACCCATCCAAGCTCGCAAAGTCGTCGGCGGCCCAGGCAAAGCGCAAGGGTCGCTTCAAGGCTCTGGTCGGCTCGACTGGCTCTGAGCTCGCCTCGCTCACCACCCGTGAAATCGAGGACCTTCGCGCAGAGTGGATGAACTACGCAGGCTTCCTGTGCGCCCTGGGTGGCGTCATGGTCGACGCCTCGGAGGAGGCCGTCGTCGACGAGTTTATCTCGCAGATTCTCGAGCTCGTCATGTGCGACGCCCAGTACCTCCGCGAGTCTATCCTCAAGATTGCCGCTGCCTCGCTCTCGCCCACCATGTACGCCCCGCTCTTCCGCACCATGCACGAGACCATGGACTCGTTCCTCAAGGGCACCTCTGCAAAGTCTATTGTCGTCACCGACACCTCGCGCCTCTTTGTCGAGCAGGCCATCTCTATGCTCAAGATCATTCTCTCCGAACACCAAGAGTCGTCCGACGAGCTCGCCATCGCAGACTTTGAAACGCTCCTCCTCTCGTTTGCCCGCTACATCTCGGCTCTCCAGGACAACGTCGACACGGCGCGGACAAAGGTCAAGACCTGCCAGCTCATCGAGACCACCATGGCCAACCGCGAGTACCTCACCTTCCGCAACGAGGTCAACTTCCGCAACCGCCTCGTCGAGAAGATCATCGGCTGGACCTCCGACTTTGGCGACAAGAAGAACCGCGCTACGCTCGACCCGGCCGAGGTCATGAAGGTTGACATCCACACCATGCGCGCCATCGCCTCGCTCCTCCACAACCTTCCGCTCCAGACCGATGCCAACGACGCGTCGTCCAAGGACAAGTCTGCCCTCTTCCTGCAGTACTTTACCTTCTTCACCCAGCTCCTCAACCGCTGCCGTCGCGACGAGCGCCAGTCGGCAAAGTACTCGGAGCTCGCCGGCCTCGCCATTCGCGCCCTCTCCAACCTCCTCACCGCCAACATCGACTCGGGCCTCGAGTACTTTATCTCGCAGGGCTACTCGCAGGATCCGGAGACCCGAACGGCCTTTATCAAGGTTCTCACCAACATTCTCCGCCAGGGCGCCGAGTTTGAATCGCTCGCCGAGTCGTCGCTCAACGAGCGCTACGCCAAGCTCATGGCCCTCCTCATGCAGCGCGACATGGTTGTCACTCACGCCCTCATCGAGTCGGTTCAGATCACCGAGGCCGACATGATCTCATCCGTCCTCATCCGCCTCTTCTCCGCCGCCGGCAAGCACATGCAGCTTCTTGAGTACATCATCCGTAAGGAGGTGACCTCTACCTTTGCCGAGTCGACCCTCTTCCGCCGCAACTCGATGGCCACCAAGCTCCTCACTGCGTTTACCAAGTACGTCGGCAAGTCGTGGCTCCAAGACATGCTCCGCGAGCCCATCAAGGCCATGCTCGAGATGAACCCGCAGCGGTTCGAGGTCGACCCCGACAAGGTCATGCCCAACGACGACGTCGACGCCAACCGCGACCGTCTCATGACCGCAGCCACCGTCATTGTCGATGCCATCTTTGCCAAGTACGCACAGTGCCCTGTCTCCATCCACTCGGTCGCACACATGCTCGCTTCCATCATCGTCGAGAAGTTTCCCAAGGCCGGCCCGACTGCCATCGCCGGCTTTATCTTCCTCCGCTTCATCTGCCCGGCCATTGTTGCACCCGACGGCTTTGGCCTTGTCCCTGACGCCATCACCTCGCGCGACACCCGCCGCGGCCTCATCATTGTCACCAAGATTGTGCAGAACCTGGCTAATCGCGTCCGTTTCGGCACCAAGGAGCGCTTCATGGACATGGCTAACCAGTTTATCGACGACCGCTCCGAGTCGATGCTCGCTGTCCTCTCGCACTTTGCCGGCCCGCCCGACGCCGCCGAGCTTGCAGCCGACGAGGAGCCTGACGATGGCGGTGAGGCCGGCGCCAAGGATGACGACGACGACGATCAGGAGGCCTCGTTCATCACCGACGAGCTCTTCCCCGACGTCGTCGCCCTCCATCACCTCATCTACGACAACCTTGAGAAGATGGGCCAGATGATTTCCAAGGAAATTCGCTCCCGCAACGAGCTTGCCGACGAGCAGCGCCGCCGCGAGGGCAACGTCTACGGCGAGGACGGCTCCATCATCGGCACTTCGCCGGCCTCGGGCTCGCCGCCGCCGGCCTCCACCGCCGACGCTCCATCCGCCCCTGACGTTCCGGGCAACATCAACCCGGCTGCTGCAGAGGCCGCTGCCTCGGACCCGATCTCCGCCACCAACCTCATCCAGAAGCAGCTCGTCGCCCAGGGCATCGACGCCGAGACTGCCGCCAAGGCCGCCAAAGCGCGCGTTGATCAGCTCGTCTCGGTCCACCGCGCCAACCTCGCTGCTGCCGAGGCTGCTGCCGCCGACGCTGCCGCCAAGTCGGACGAAGCCCCGGCCGGTGACGAAGTTGACGCCGCCGCCGCCGATGGCTCGGCTCCGTCCGGTGCCGCCGCCGCCGCCAAAAAGCCTTTCGTCCAGCTCACCATTCTCATGGCGCAGCTTGGCCCGCCACCAGAGATCAAGGAGAAGACGGACGGCGAGGCCTCTGGTCCCGGCAGCGTCACCTCGTCCAACTCGGCATACGAGGTGTTCATGCGGCAGAACGCTGGTATCGAGAGCTCCGAGGAGCTCGAGGCGCTCATGTACCAGGCCGGCAAATCGCTGGCGGGCTTCCCGGTCCTCTACGTCATTGCCCGGAATCTCAAGCCGTCGATGGACAAGGTCAAGGTCCAGTACCACATCCTCAAGACGCTCCAGCCGGTTTTGCACACACAGTTTGACATTGTCATCGACCTCGCGTACTCGGGCCCGGAGAACGAGGTTGAGTTTTCGCTCATCTCGCGCTTTGTCCGCCTCCTTCCGGTCGAGCTGCAGACTGCCGTCAACGACATCTGCATCCTCTACCCCAACTCGTGGGCAAAGAAGTTCCTCAAGCGCGTCGGGCGCGTCGTCTCGGGCCGTATCTCGCGCAAGATCAAGTTCTGCGCCTCGGTCCACCACCTCCATGCTTACGTGGCGCCGGTGGAGATCAAGCTTCCCGAGACCACGCTCGCCATCGAGAACGATGTCAAACTCACCTTTGAGCGGGTGACAAGGACCTCGCAGCACAAGCCGTGCATCATCCGAGTCCTCTCTGACGGCTTCCAGATCCTGTCGACCAAGCAGTCGTCAATCCTCCGCCACAAGTGCGCCATCACCGACCTCTACCACATCCGCCAGGTCGAGGACGTGTATCGCATCGGCTCGCGCGACGCGCACTCGTTCAACATCAAGTACTACGACGCCGAGGGCACCAACATTCTCCTCCTCCGCTCGCACCAGGCTTCGCGCATCATCAAGACCCTCAAGGCGACCCAGGAGCAGTGGCGCTCGGCCAAACCCGAGGACTCGTCCACCGTCCGCAAGTTCCGCCCCGAAGACGTGCCGGGCACACTGCTCAACATGGCGCTGCTCAACCTCGGCTCCGACGACTCGGCCCTCCGCCTGGCTTCCTACGACATGCTCTACGCGCTCGCCGTCAAGTTCAACTTTCCCATCCGCGACGCCCTCCTCCGCGCCGACGGCATGTTCATTCCGGTCAACACGGCGTGGTTTGTGACCTCGATGTCGCGGACGCTGGCAAACAACGAAACCCGCCTCACCCTCGAGTTTATCCGCGAAGTGCTCGAGTCGTTTGACAAGGAGAACCGCAAGCGCAAGCACCTCTCGCTGCAGTACCTCGCGCCGTGGCTTAACAACCTCGACGAGTACTTTCTGGCCTCGCCCGACCCGGACTCACTCGACCGAAAGTCGCGGGCCAAGGACCTCATCAACACCCTTATCGACCTCACCATCCGCGAGGACGAGCTCTACCCGGCCGTCCAGCAGTACATCTGGACCACCATTGGCCAAGTCACGCCCGTCCTCCACGACGTCGTCGACATCCTTATCATCCGCGCCTGCCGCGCAGGCCTCTCGTCCAAGCCTGCGGAGATCATCGCTGACACCACCGTCACCCTCGCCTCGCAGAACAAGGCCCTCGTCTCGGGCCGTGTCATCGCTCAGCTTCGCAAGCTCCTCCGCGCCACCGCCATGGTCCCGGTCACTCGCCTCGAGGACGGCCAGCTGTGGAACGAGATCGCTACCCTCACCCGCATTGTGCTCATGCTCTCCTTCCACGACCGCATCGACCTGCGGAACTTCCTCCCGGAAATCTTCCACATTGTCATCTGCCTGGTCTCCACCGGCGAGTCCCTCTTCCGCAAGACCATCCATGGCATTGTCATCAACGTCGTCCAGTCGCTTTGCACCTCAGACCTCGTCACTGCCGAGCAGGCCGAGTCGCTCCGCTTCCGCCTTCGCGACTTTTCCGAGGCCCGTCACCAGCTCCTCTTTGGCGTCTCGGGCTCCAAGTCGATCGAGTCCATTCCGGTCCAGTCGCTCGAGGCCATTGCCATCGCCCTCCACGACGTCATCACCTGCTGCCAGACCGGCGCTGTCAATAGCTATGGTCAGTTGTGGCACTCGCGTTGGCTCTCGCTGACCACAGAGACCGCGTTCCAGTTCAATCCGGCGCTCCAACCGCGTGCCTGTGTCACCATCGGCGTCCTTGCCACCCACGTCTCGGACTCGCTCATCCGCGAGCTCATCTCGATGCTTCGCGTCAAGCTCCTTCAGTCGATGCGGATCACGGCCGTGCCGGGCAATCTCGAGTCGTCGTTCGACATGCCTATCGCCATCCTTCTCTGCCTCACCCGCCTCATGACCAAGCTCCCGCCCACTTCGGTCTACTTTAACCTCATGTTCTGGTTCGCCGTCTCCATCCTCCAGATCTCGGAAATCGTGCTCTTCCCGGCTGCCTTGGGCCTCCTCGAAGTCGTCATCAAGACCATGGACGCCGTCGGCTGCTTCGACTCGTACCAGGTCAACGAGTACCTCATGATGGCCCGTCAGCCGCTCGAGGACATTTGCGCCAAGCTGGACGAGGCAACCCAGTTCAACTTCCACACCGACTTTTCGTTTGCCATTGTCGGCAACATTCTCAAGGGTCTCAAGCACCCGTCGACCAAGGCCATCACCGTCCGCGTCCTCACTACCTTCCTCGATGTCGTTGGCAAGGGCACCCTCGACTCGTCTGTCCTCGGCTTCCTCGCTGCGCTCCTTCCCTCGCGCCGAAACAACACTGCCTTCCGCGAAATGATTGCCAACAACACCGACAACTCGTCGTCCAACGGCGACTCGTACTGGTCGTTCCTCTTCACCCCCGAGATGCTGCCCGACCTCACCACCACCGTCCTCTTCCTCTCCATCCTCGTCACCATCCTTGACAATGCAGAGTACGAGGCCGAGCAGCTGTTCATCTTCCGCCTCCTCGAGGAGGCTGTCCTCGCCGTCCCAAGGTCTTCCCGGTCACCTACTCGTCCGGCCTCATCCGCCGCATGTCGGCCTCGCTCGCCACCTCGCAGGACCGCAACATCATCAACTCGGTCCAGAACATCATGCACTCGATGGCCAAGGTCGGCGCCGAGTCAGACCCCAACCACCCCACCAAGAACCACCTCAAGTCGGTCGGCTGCGAGGGCCTCCTTCATGCTGCTTCCATCCGCAACACTCCTTCGCAGAAGATGGTCATGTCCGCCAAGTACTGTGCCCTCCTCATGGACGAGATGACCGACCGCCGGTAAAAGCAACAAACTCGGTACACGCCTCTACATCTTACACCGGCATTTACCCTTTTCCCGCCCTCTCCTTATGGAGGCACGCCGCCACTACCGCCGTTGGCAAGACTCTGCATCCGCGCCTGCTCCTCCTGGAACTGCTTCCGCAGGATCTGCGCGTACTGCCGGTACCGGTTGGCAACAGCGTCGGTTCGCTGCTGGCCCTGCTCGCGCGAGAGCTGGCCCGACGCCACCGCGGCCTTGATTTCGTCGAGTGCCTGCTTAGTCCGCTGCTTGAGGACCGTGGCCTTGGATGAGATTTCAGCCGCTGTGGGGTGCCGCCCAGATTGCTGCTGTGCACGTGCTGCGGCGGCACGTGCTGCCAACTGCTGTTGCGCCTGTGCTTGTGCTTGCGCCTGCTGCTGCTGGAGGAGCAGTGACAGCTGCTGTTGCTGCTGCTGCTGTTGCTGCTGTTGCTGCTGTTGCTGCTGCTGCTGCTGCTGCTGCTGCTGCTGCTGTTGCTGCTGTTGCTGCAGATGGAGCTGTGAGTGCCCGAGCCCGAGCTCACTGTGCCCGCCCAGCCCGTGCGAGAAGCTTCCGCCCATGGCCACCTGTGGGACCGACGGAATTTGCGGCAGCGCCGAAGTCGGCACCGAGCCACCCTGCAGCTCGCCGCCGAGCGACGGGAGGAGCGGCGAGGTGTTCGAAAGGCCGGTCGCGCCAAACGAGCCAAAGCTAGTGATTGGCGCCGGAATTGATGGAAGTGCAGGCAGCGACGAGGTCACTGCGCCGCCGCCACTCGCCTCGGTCTCAGGTGGCGGGGCAATGGGGAGCTGTGTCGCGGCTCCGCCGCCGTGTCCCTTGGTCCGCGAGGTCTTGGAGCGCTTGCGGCCCTTGCTTCCGCCCTTGGCACTGCCGTCCTTGCCAGCAGGCGTGACAGAGGTCGGCGAGCGCTTGCGCTTGCGAGTCCGCGCTCGCGACGACGCCCGCCCCGACTTGGACGCTGATGCGCTTACAGTCGAGCCGCTCGTCCCGGCCATCTGCTCAGACATGGCCTCGTTGATGCGCCGCAGCTTCTGGCCCTGCGTCGCCGACGCCGAGCCGAGCTGCACGACCTTGGAGGGCCCGCCCTCCTGTGCCGACGGCGTGCCAATGCGAACGTTGACCGACGAGCCGAGGTGCGCGCCGCCGCCGGCGAGCTGCGCTGCCGCCGCCGCCTTGGCCGCCGCCGCCTTGGCCGCCTTGGCCTTGGCGATCTGCTGCGCCTGCACATGGCGCTGAAGCGCCGGGCCGGCCGAGACCAGCGCGGCCTTGGCCGCCTCACGGCCGGCATGCTTGGCTTCCTCGCGCGACGCGCCGCGGGCAAGTGCATCACGCACCGCCTTCTTGAAAGCGTTCTGTGCCAGCTGCTTGAACTGCTCCTCTTGCTGCTGCGTCAGCTGTCCCGCATGCCGTGACCGCGAATTTGCCTGTGCTTGCACTTGCGGTTGCGCTGCCGCCGCAGCCTGCGCCGCCGAGTGTCGCGAGCCGGACGGGTCGTGTGCAGCCTGCGCCGCTTGTGCTGCCTTGGACATGGCCCGTGCGGCGCGGGTGTCGCCGCGCGCCGTCGCGTCGGTCTTGGCAAACTCACCCGACGTAACCATCTGCCGCGCCATCTGCATGCCCATCGGCACCGAGCCGTGCATGATGTTCGAGACTTCCATCTCGAGCTTGGCGTGACTCTGCTTCCGCATCAGCTCGCGCTTGATGAGCCCCTCGGCGCGGCGGTTGGCCATCGCTGCCGGCCCGGCCGGTAGCATTGCATTGACGCCCGCAGCCCTAGCGGCTTCGGTGTGTGAGAGGTGCACGTCAGCGAGCGATGGCGTCTTGGTCTTGGACCGCGCCGCGCGCGCTCGGTCCAGCGCAACCTGGCCGACGGCCAGCAGCGTCCGCCGCGCCTTGGTCGGTCGCGCCGCAATGCTGTCGTCGTCATCCGAGTCCGAGTCCGAGTCCGAGTCCGGGTCGCGGCCGGAGCTTCCGCCGAGCTGCGAAGCATCGTCAGCCACCGTGCCCGGGCCAGTGAGAATGGTGCCGAGCGGCGGCGCCGGCGCCCGCAGCGGGTCGGCCAAAGGCGCCGAGGCGTGAACAGCCGAGTCAATTGAGTCACCCGACAGCAGCCGCAGCGTCTGGTTCGACGACGGGTAAACGCCCTTGCGCAGGTAGTGTTCGTGGTCCATGCACGCCTGCGGCGTCCGCACAACGCCCGGTGGCGAGACTTCGCGCGACGCAAGAACATCGGCCACAAGCATCCAGTTGCGCCCGAGCGCCCCGACCACATCCTCCAGCGCAGACTCTTCGGCCGGCGTCCACGGAATGCGCGGAACAACGAGAATGAGCTCGCGCCGCGCCCGCTTGGCTGCCCGCGCCGCACCGTCCTTCTTCTCGCGCTCGGCCTCGCGCAGGCGCTCCAGCGCGCGCAGCGTCTTGGCCAATGACGGCTGCGGCGGGTGCCCGCTCCGGGCCAGCGCCGCAGACGCCGCCGTCCCGACTTGGCTCTGAACCACAGCCTGCTTCATCGCCCGCTTGAGCATGCGAGCGTCCTTGAGGATGGCCACCGGCAGCGCATTCGACTGCGGCCCGTAGCCATGAAGCAGGAGCAGCTCCGGTACGTCACCGTGCTGCGCGTAGTATTGGTACTCGTCGACAACATCGCGAGTGAGGGGCACAATCGATAGCGCGGAGAGCTCCGACTCGGACATGAGAATGGGCGTGCCGTCGGCTGCCGAAAAGCTCCGCCGCTCCGCAGCAGCAATGCTCTCCCACAGCCCGCTTCCCACAGCCTTGTCACGTCGGCTCATGTCCGGCGCCCACACAGAGGTCCCCTCTGCATGCTCGGCGCTCTCCGCTAGCTCAAAAAAAAGCTCGTCGTCGTTGGCTCCAGCTGCTCCGCGCGCCACGCTCCCGGCCTCGACCCGCTCGAGCGCCTCGTCCTCCAGCGCCTCTACCCGCGCCTGCTCCCATCCGGGCCGCACGGTTGTAGACTCGGTCGCCGTGCCGTTGTCGTCAGCGTCAGTAGCTTCAACAAGCGCAAGCGCAAACCGATCAACCGGCCGCAGCTCAGCCACCATGTCGTCGACAGCCCGCAGCTGTTCGGTCGCCTCGGCAAGCATGGTTCCTGATGCCGGTCCCGGCAGGGCCGAGCTGGCCTCGGAAGCCGTCGCAGGTCTCGGGCTCTCGTCGGCAAAGACCGACATCTCGGCGTGCATCTCGCCCTGGACCCGCTGCAGCGCCTCGACGTCCTCGGCGTCCTCGACCTGGAGCATGGCAGCCTCGAGGTCGACCGGATCAGAAGAGACGGCCGCGGAGTCGCTCCCATTGCTCGCCGCCATCTCGCCGCTAAACAGCGCCTGCAGCGAGGCTGGCGACTTGAAGAACTCGGTGGTGAAGCTCCCGCCCTGAATGACCATGTCGTCGAGCATGCGCTTCTGGTTGGCCTTGAGCAGAATGTTCTCCTCAATGGTAGCCTGCGAGACGAGGCGGTAGATGTGGACCTCGCGGGTCTGCCCGATGCGGTGGCACCGGTCCTGGGCCTGGGCGTCCATCGCCGGGTTCCAGTCCGAGTCGTAGAAAACAACCGTATCGGCGCCGGTCAGGTTGACGCCGAGCCCGCCGGAGCGAGTCGAGAGGATAAAGCAGAAGACCCGCTCGTCGGCGTTGAACTTGTCCATCAGCCGCTGGCGCTCCTCGATGCCGGTCGAGCCGTCGAGCCGCGCGTACGAGTGGTTGTGGTAGTTGAGGAACTTCTCGAGCGTGTCGAGCATCTTGGTCATCTGCGTAAAGATGAGCACCCGGTGGCCACCGTCCTTGAGCTTGGCCAGCAGCCGCGCCAGCGTCTGCAGCTTGCCGCAGTCGTACTCGATGAGCCGCTTGTCTGGAAAGTGGAGGGCAAGCCGGACGGCAGCAGGCTCGAGCACGTCGGGCGCGCGGCGGACCGTAGTGGTGACCGCAGTCCGCGCAGTTGCCACTGCGCCGGCGGCAATCGGCGCAAGCGCCGAGACCGAGAGCGGGTCAGCGACCGCCACCGCCGGTGGAACCGCAAAGACAAACTCGCGGATGAAAAACTGGCCCGCAGCCATCCGCTGAGCGTGCGAGAGCACCGCCCGCCGCAGGAGGCTCGAAAAGTCAAAGGTGTGCTCGTCAAACGGCGCGCCGTAGCCCGAGTCGAGAGGGACGAGAGAGCGGAGCGGCGCAAGGCAAACCGCACGCCTGGTCCGCCAGTCAACAACCGGCACCCGGCCAGCGGCGCAGAGGAGCGCATTGCGGGTGTCAAGCGCGTTGGCAACCGCGAGGTCTTCGGCGTACACCCGCATTTTGTACGAATGCGACTGGCGAGCCATCGACGACGACTTGGACGCCGGCGAGAGCGGCGCCGGCGCCGCCGGCAAGAGCGAGGCAAACGACGGGAGCGAGGCAGCCATGGCGGCGACACGGGCAGCCGCAGACGCGTCGAGGCTCCCACCGGCCAGCTCGGTAATGTTGAAGCCAAGCAGTGAGAGCGAGACCGAGGTGCCCGGCAGCGTTGACGGGGTGATGAGCTCGGCGACGTCGCCGGGCACCAGCGCGGCAGTGACGCGGCGCGGAAGGCTGCGGGCGGCGGCGGCGGCAACCGAAGGTAGAACCAGAGGCGAGAGAATGGGCCGCTCCTCGAACAAGTCCGGATGGTTGCACACCTTGCGGAGCTGCATCAGCACGTTCATCATCGACAGGTAGTTGCCCGACGCCAGCGAGGCACGGGTCTTGGAGCGCGACATAAACTCCTCATAGAGGAAGCGCTGACGCTTGGAGAGTGGGCAGAGGACAACATGCTCGTGCTTGGGCGGCAGCTGGGTTGCCACATCCTTCTTGAGCCGCCGAAGGAGGAACGGGCGGAGAATGGTGTGGAGGCGGCGGACAATGCCCTTGTTGACGGCGGCGGCACCCTCGACCATCGAGGTGAGCGGCGTGGAGAACCAGTCCTTAAACTCAGAGTGCGACTGGAAGACGTGCGGCATGAGAAAGTGCATGAGCGACCACAACTCCATGACCGAGTTCTGCAGCGGAGTGCCGGTGAGGAGCAGCCGCCGACGGGTGTTGAAGTTGAGCAGAGTCTGCCAGCGCAGTGACTTGAAGTTCTTGATGTTGTGTGCCTCGTCGAGAATGAGGTACTGCCACTTTTGCCGCCGGAAGGCCTTGGCATCATGGAGCACAATGTTGTACGAGGTGATGCAGACGTGAAACGCGTTGTTTTTCGACCACCCGAGCCGCTTCTCCTTGCGCTCCTTGACGGTCCCGTAGTACGTGAGGACCTTGAGGCCCGGCGCCCACTTTTTGAACTCCTTGTCCCAGTTGAGAATGACCGAGGTCGGAACGACAATGAGGTGCGGGCCCCAGACGCCGCGGACCGACGCCAGGTGCGCCAGCAGCGCAATAGTCATGATCGTCTTGCCCAGCCCCATCTCGTCGGCAAGGATGCCGTTGAGCTTCTTGTCGTAGAGCGTGACCATCCACTCAACTGCAACCTGCTGATACTCGCGGAGCGTGCCGCGGAGCAGCTCCGACGGCGCGGCAAACGCTGCCGAGCGGACGAGGTCCTCGCCCGACGGCTGGAACTGCGACGCCGCCCGCGCCACCAGCGCCATTCGGTCCTTGTCCGAGAGCTTGGCGAGTGAGGCCTCGTCAAGCGCGACAGCGGCGCCAGTCGGCGCCGGCGGGCCGGCCCGCGATGCTGCCTCGTCATACGGGTTGTTCTCAGCAAAGAGGTGTGCAAAGGTGTACTCGTCGTCGGCCTCAGCCGTCGACTCGTCGCGCTCGGTCAGCGCCGACGCCAGCCAGTTGGCGTCGTCGTCGTCGTCGCCGTCGTCGCCGGACCGCGCCGCTGCCGGCGTGCCCGGGCCGGACTCCCGCCCAAGCGCCTCGGGCGGCGCGTATGTCTCCACCAGATCCTCCAGCGGAATCTGTGCCTCGGCCTCGAGATGCGACACAATGTTGGTCTCCTCCGGAAGAAGCGGCGGAAGGCCAGCAAAGCCGCCGCTGCCCTTCAAAGTGCCGGCCTCGCCGTCGCTGTCCGAGCCCGAACCCGAGCCCGAGCACGAGCCCGAGAGCGCAAAGTCGGCATCGGTCGGGTCATCGACGGCAGCAGCGGCAACAGAGGCGCGCGAGATAGCCGGCTGCGGGGTGGCCGGGCCCGACGCTGGTGACGCCGACGCAAGGTCCTGCGCCAGCGACATGGCGTAGGCTTCAGTCGTGCCCACAATGGCCTCCAGGTGCTTCTCCTGCTGGCGCTGCTTCTCCACCTCGGCAATCTGTTCGCGCTTGTACTCGGCGAGCTTGTGGATCGAGCCCCAAAAGGTCATGACCTTGCGCGAGATCGAGGCCGCCACCCGCCGGATGGCGGCGAGTTCCTGCTTCTTGGACTTGTCGGCAGCGGCTGCCTCCCGCTTCCAGTACGCCGACACGCCGCGCGCCATCTGCTTGGCGAGGTTTGTCTTCCACTTGCGCTCTTGGGTAAAGTCCTTGCAGAGCCACGCAGCCTCACGGAGCATGAGGTCCCACTGGGTCTCGTTGCGCGGCGGCTCTGGAAGCTTGGGAAGAACCTTGGCGCCCCACACGCCGGCGCGCTGCAACTCGGCCACCCGGTTGAGAACAAGCGCCTTCTCGTGGGCCTTGGCCAGTCGGTCAGCGTCAAGCGAGCGAGCAACAGCCGTAAACTCGGCCAGCGCAAGCGTCGGCTTCTTGGGCGGAACAAGCGAGATGGTCATACCACCAGCCGTGAGCGAGGTCGAGACAAGGTCTTTCTCGGCGGAAGCCCCATTGTTGGACTTGGGCGTTGCTGCCGCCGTGCTGCTCTTCGACTGTGACGCTCCGCCGTGCTGCTCTTCGACTGTGACGCTCCGCCCTTCTTTTGCGCGCTCGACTTGCGGTTCGACGCCGTCGCCTTGCTCCGCGACTTGGCCGCCGCTGCTGCCGCTGCTGCCGCTGCCGCTTCCATGTGTTTGGCAAAGGCCTCAACGGCGACCGGATGATCCGACGAGTACTCCATCAGCGAGCCGCCAGCCTCGAGGTACAGCATCTCCTTCATCTCCTCCTCATACGCGCCCTTGACCAGGCCCTCCAGCTCGAGAGTCATTTCCAGCGCCTTGGCGCGGAGGCTCTGGACCTGAGACTTCTTCGGCTTGGACACAATGCCGGCCATCGACGCATAGTCGCGCTTCTTGGTTCCACGCAGCCGCGGCGAGCGGAGACCCAGCTCGGTCTCACCTCCCGCCGCCGCAGCCTGATCACCAGCACTACGAACAGCCACAACCGGCCCAGCCGGAGCCGGAGTAGGAGCAGACTTGTCCGACGCACCAGCCGACTCACTCACCACCATCCCACTGCCACCATCATCGTTCCTACCTCCATCAACCGATGGACCGGCAGCTGCTGCACTTCCCGTCAGAGTCTTTCTACGCTTGGTCTCCCGCTGTGGCGCGGATGGTGACGGGGCCGACATGCGGAACAGTGCCTATCAACCAAAGGAGTGTGAGTGAGAGAAAGGGGAGGTGAAGAAGAAGGACGAGGCTGGTCAGTTCGACTTGGATTGGCTAGCAGGCTGGCGAGTTGGTTGGTGGGTGGGTGGGGTTGGTGGGTGGGTGGGGTTGGTGGGTGGGTGGGGTTGGTAAGCGGGCTGATTCGGCTGGTTCGGCTGATGCGGCTGGTTCGGCTGGTTCGGCTGGTTCGGCTGGTTCGGCTGGTTCGGCTGGCCTCGCCAGCTCGGCTTTGGTTGGTTGGTTGGTTGGTTGGTTGGTTGGTTGGTTGGTTGGTTGGTTGGTTGGTTGGTTGGGAGAAAGGCGAAATTCAGACACAAAGTGTGGCGGTAGCCACTAGCGCGGGTTTGGGGACGGGGGAGA